TTCATAAATTCATTAATAACAAAAGTTACTGTGGTAAAAAAAAAAAATCCCATGTTTTTATTAACGCATAAGCAAAGCAATAAAGCCTGGTGCGTGCCTCCTTGAGAGAATTGCTTGTCAACAACAGGAAGAGGAGGGGGGGGGGATAAGGCATCGTCTGACAACAAGCCATCTTTGAAACACCTCCAAGAGAGAAATGGCATCCATTAGAGACATACAAAAAAAACGCGTGCTTGTCGACGAGCAGTGGGGGGAAATCTCTCGCACACACATCCACAGATAATTGTTTATCCCTGAGAGAACCTTCAGTGTTTGTCTGCGGGTGGCTAAGTAAGTTCACCAGCACTATTGGACAGGGAGTGCCCACCAGACCCAAGGCTCGAAATACATTAGGATGAATCAATTAGGCTGCCATTAGCCAATAAAGTGGCCCTCACTGAGTCGTGTAATTATGACCCACAGCAAAGCCAATTTTATGGAGGCACATTATCCCTTTCTTTTCCTTATTAATTGTATTTGTTTGAGATAATCCCTCCATGGTTTTAATTATGCGCTTTAGGTTCAGGGTGGAAGAAATAAATCATCATTTGCTTCAATCACTTCCAAATACTGCAGGTCTGCAGTTTTTTGTTTTTTTTTCTCACCGTAAGGGAAGCTACCCATCGCGGGGCAATGACTGCACTGATTAGGCACTTAAATTAAAAATGAATGCAGAAATCCAGATTAACCCCACTCAGAGCGAGTTCCCGTCAGATTCTGCGATAAGATGCCAGGAAGAGCTGATATTATAGGCAGCCAGCTACTTAGCTTGTTCCCAGCTCAGAGGACACTGTAAGTGTGACAATGTGCTGTCAATGAGGGATGACAGTACACAGCCAACATGGCGTAATGCATTGTTCCTTCCTGGGTCCCTCCTGACAGATGCTCTCCAAGACAGCTGGATCAGCAGCAAGAATGGAGCCGGGATACGAGGGGAGGATATGATATGCGGGCTGATTAGCGAAGGTATACACGTGTCAACAAGCGAGGCCTGGGGATCACGTCGGAGTTTGTGTTAATTGTCAGTTTAAGACAGCGTTACCTACTGATTTTGAGCACAATGCAGGGCTTTGAATAAGCAGCATTGCTGGATGCAGTCGTTTTCTTTCCATTTGTCCATGACCTTTCTTATTCGTAGAGAAAAAATGTCAGCCTGCTAGAACTTTTTCTGTTTCCCATCCAAGAGATCTCCTAAGAAATGACCTTCTCTGCAACAGGCACTCTTCTAAGACTGATGTTGGAGGAGCTTCAAGCCAAGTAAAATAAACACTTTGAATGTTAAGCTGGAACTTGGCAGACATGAACTGAATCATTTTTGTGGACACAGGGAATTTTTATGTTCCATTTTCATTTGACAGTCTAGACGTTTTATGGGTTAGGGAAGAAATCTAGTCTAGGACTTTTGCCTGAAACATCTGTGAAGACATGCTGATGTTCTCTGGACTTTTACTCTTTGTTCCTGGACTTGGGAAGCAGGAAACGATATCTTGTCCCATGTGCTTTATGTCAATTTTGAAAAGATCATTTTTATTACAGATGCACCAAATGTAAAGTCCTGGGCCAATTTCAAAACACCCAAACTGTATTATAGTTTTTGTCTTAGCCACTTTAGAGATGTGTCACACATTATGTTGTCTAATGTTTATTCTTCTGTAATCTTTTGCTCAAAAACACTCTGTACTCTGCCATATACAGTACTCTGTGTATGGCTTGTTTAGTGAGACGCAAATACACAACAGTGGCAGCACAGATTACACGTTTCACAGATTTACTAAGATTTAGGGGCTCTGTGACCATCTTGGATTGTGAAGTCGAGGTTGCTGGGGGTTCTCCAGCTTTCCGAGTTGGAGATCCAACTTGAGGGGACATCCCAGTTCCCACTTAAAATTAATCAGGGCATTCGTTTTAGAATTACTGTAGTCAGTAATCTCAGGCAGCTGTGCCAAACAGCAATATTTTTGTTAAATTAACAACATTTTATGATATTCATGTAATAAAAGCACATTCCCAGTGTTCCTTTAAATGAACTGTCATTGGGAAACCAGAGCTGCTGCAGAGAATGCTGGACTAATGCTGTGTTCTCCTGCTTTGCTAGCAGTTTAATAAATAGTGAATAAACTGAATGTCTCATTAATAATAACCAATAACTAACCAACTAATAAGGCAGCATTAGAAAGCATTGTTTTGTTTTTTTGCTGATTTTGGTCTTCATTTCCTCCTTTATCCTAATGAAACAAAGCATCTTCATAACTGATGAGTTAATGAGTGGTTTTAAAGTCTAATACATCATCACACCGTCTGAACAGTTAACTAGAGCAAAAATGATGTAACAAAACAGAAACACCGGCCATTGCCAACATTAATTAATCAAATAGGTCCACTTAAATATCAATCTTCTACTTACACGGCACGTTAACAGGCTTTAATTTTGAAGAGGTGTTATTTAAGTCAACTCTTTACGTCTAAAACTCAGATAGATAGTTTCAGTATGGCTTGACCTATAAATCCTGCAACCTGTTTTCAGTTCAGTGTTACCATAATGTAAGTTGTCAGCCTTCTTTTTTCTTCTTTAAGTATGTACTGCTGTGAGATGTTTTCCTACTAAAAATTACTTCCAGAAAGGGCAGCTAGTCCATGGGATATTGTGGTGTGCTCCTATTTTAACACCCACTTTAGATCGGCATTTATGAGGTGGTAAATGTAGAAAAAGTGCCTCTCTGTACTGGTGAGCATTCAAGAGCCGTGGGAGCGGCAGCGGCGGCGGGGCCACTGCTGATGTACGTTAACTAAAGCAGACAGGCGGGTTTAGAGTTTCTGATGGAGCAGGTTTGATTGGGTCATAACGTGGCAGCAGTTGTGACGGTGTGGAGGTAAGGCGCGTGTGAAGCCATCTGAGATTTTCCCCTCTAAGCCTGTCTATACATTACTGGAGTGATGAAAGAGTCTTGGTAACGAGACAGGATGTTTGTACTGTCTTGCCATCTCAAGAGACGTCCCCCCCCCCAACGCCGCCATTTCTCCTCCAATACTCCTCCCACACTCAATCTACCTCCCGCTGAGTCTATGGCCTGAAACCCTGACCTCTTCCACTCGCCAACAGTTGCCATATTTGCATTTCCAGTCCACTTAAAGGCAAAGGTGGGGGTGAATGTGGGAGCCCCCCCTCCTCTTCCCCTACAAGTACAGCAGGCTTCATTCTCATCCCAGTGACCCCCTGCCCAGGACTACCAACCCGGACAGCAGTCTGGGGTTAATGCACCAAGCACTCCTATTGTCTCTGAATTAATGAAGTGCTCCGTGCCTGTCCCTTCTCATTCAATGACAACGAGACAAATGACAAGTGGTATTGTTTTAAATGGCTATCGACACTCAAGGGGCGCAAAGTCACAGAGTCAGGGCTCCTGTTAGGTCCGATAACGGTAACACCAGCTGCCGTCAGAGTGCCTTCGATGTCCACTCTGGGGTCAATTTGAATGCTAGCAGCACAACGCTTCACACAGGAGAAGGGATTTTATATTGAAATGGATGGTTCTCAGATGGAGGAGGAAGAGTCTGAGCCTGTGTTTTCACCTCAGAAAATGGAAGGTGGGGACTTGGATGTCCTAAAGAATGGCAAGGGAGACCTCTAGTGGTAAAGAGGAGTATTTGATCAGATTGTTTACTGACGCTATTAATACTTAAACCATACTGTTTTAGGTGTGAAATCAGCTCACACCTAAAACCCACACAGGCACATACACAGCTGCAACTCTGAATGAGTGCTGTAAAGAATAAATAAAGTCCTGGTGAAAAGTTTAAAATATTGGGGGTGATCAGAGTGACTTTCAGAATATTTCTTAAAAGAATTTCCACTTGCCTCAGTGCAATTTCTACTTGATTTAAATGCAAGATTATAGTCAAATTGTACCCATTTTGATTTTAATTCCCAAAATGATTATAGCATTGTTTTGGAAAAATGAGAAATTATCTCAAACCTACTCGTATATAGAAAAACGTCAAGATATAAGGACAAACAAAGACTATTTAAAAAAGTCTGGGGTCCTTTTTTAACCGTGAATTTGGATTACTCTGTATCAAATGGGAAGAGCAGTTTTCTTTCTGCTTTGTTTGTTTGTTTTTAAATTAATGTTAATATCCATTTAAGGAAGAAAGGTTGACTAAAATAACAGGAAACAAAATATTATTTCAGATGTCGGGTTTTGTCAAAAAAATTTAAAAAAAATGTAAAAAAAAATAAATAAATAAAATTTAAAAAATGACGACGTAACCCAAGAAAAAATAAACTAATTCCACAACCTAGAAACTGGAAACAGGGAAATATTTGTCAAAACAGTTGGTGCTTATTATTCTGTCAGTATATTAACCAAATAAGGGGACTAATTACTTGAGCTCAAGTGAATCTGGCAGCCAGCTGAGCTGATTAAAAAAGGAAGTGTGGGTGACCAGAAGCCTGATGGGAGAGCTGTGCGATTTTTGGGGGGGGGGGGAAGAGTGGACAAATTGTGGAAAATATCTAAAACATGCAAATCAAAGAAGCTTATGTCTCCAAAAGGAGTGTATCTAATTTGATCATGAGAGCTTCTTTCCATAGATCGTCTTCAGGCCTGTCAAAGTCATTAATTTCTTGGGGTATTTGTGGAAGTAGCTTTGGATGAAAAACAAACGTGAAACCAATTAGGAGGTTGAATTTGAAAGTTGAATAGATAAATGAGAGGAGGCAGCACCATCTTCAAATGGTCCTTTTTTACAGCAGACCCCATGTTTCCTTCAGTGAGGCAGACTTCAGTCTCCCTCAGCCTGTGTGTCGGTCTTTGTTATACTGCACGGCTCACGCTGAGCTGGTGGATGTGTGGGTGCAGCTCAGGGGTGTCAGCTGCACGGTTGACAGCTTGTTACGGTGCATCACACCGCTGCAGGTGCGACCTTTATGACTGACCTCTGACCCTCTCCTGTCATCGCAGTGCTGAGCATTCGCGGCGCCCAGGAAGAGGAGCCCCCAGACCCCCAGCTCATGCGACTGGACAACATGCTTCTGGCAGAGGGCGTGTCCGGACCGGAGAAAGGCGGAGGTTCTGCGGCAGCGGCGGCTGCAGCGGCCGCCTCTGGAGGGGCAGGGGCCGACAACTCAGCAGAGCACTCTGACTACAGGGCCAAGCTGTCCCAGATCAGACAGATCTACCACACAGAGCTGGAGAAGTATGAACAGGTAAGAGCAGACGATGCACCTTAGACCAACACCTGACAGGGTGGGAAAATAGGGCTGTGACGTATAGAGAATTTCCACAGAACCATAACACACTGATTTTTTGAAATAGTGTTTTTAGTGCACGCGCACACACACACACACACACACACACACACACACACACACACACACACACACACACACACACACACACACGTATGACCAGCTTAATGATGTTAGGGAGTTTCCTGTGCATTTGCTGTGACAGCAGGACACATCAAAAGCAACATCAGGTTGTGCACTTTAATGCCATTTTAGCTTGTCGTGCATCTCCACGTTTTTGTAGCCTGGCACGCACACCACAGCAGGGCTAGAGGCTCAGGCCTGCAAGCACGGTGGTCTCTAAAGGCATTTTTTATGATACATAACTGCCAGAGCAAAGAGATTCCCAGACAGCGCGGGGAGAAGGATTTCTGCAACAGTTGGAAAAGATGAAAAAGTTCTGCTGAAAACTTTGAAAAAAGGAATGAAGCAGTGATATATTCTGTGCTGCGAAGCCTGAAGCGACTCAAGTTTGAGTCAAGGTTATTGAGCTACAGTTCGATTAAACAATGGCCTTAACTGCCGCTTAAAGCTGCTTTCAGTGTATCCTTAAAAGTCTTTAAATTAAATAAGGTCACAATGAAACATCTTATATGTACTTGTAAGAGCCCTTTAAACTTGAGATGCTGTTTTTATGTGAGACTTGTTCTAATACTTTTTATACTTCGAGTAGCTATTATTTTATGCGGTCCGTATATCTTTCCTCGCGGATTTATGCGTGAACCACAAAAAACAAAGAATGCAATAAGATGTGATGAGCAAGTTTAGGAGATGCACCTGGGGTGACTTGGCAGGGGATGAAACTATTTGGAGGCAGCTTGTAAGCTTTGCCTTGTAAGATGGATCTTGATGAGGTTCCAGTTTGATTTTAAAAAGTGTGAAACGTGATAGAAAAATAATGTTTAGTAAGCAATGATTTATTTTATTTGTCAAGTAAAATGACCAAAACTTTTCTTAGTTTCAGATTCTCAAATGTGGCAATTTGCAGGTTTATGTGTGATAGAAAATGGAATATTATGAAGTTCCAAAACATTTTCTTACTACTTTATCACATTTTACTTCAGGGTTTTCCAGCTCTGCACACTTTGAAGATGCAGTCCTTCTACAGAAAGTACAAAATCAGTTCAAAAACTGATTATATATTGCTGAGCTGGTCCATCTTCCTATATCTGCTTTTCCCTCCTGAACTTTAATCCAGATTTTTTACTCCTCGCTGAGGCAGGATCACTCTTAAATCAAGTGGCAACCCTTCAACTGTTTCCTCAGTACACGTCAGTAAGAATTCACTTTAGACTGTGTCTTTACCCCAGAATAGTCCATCATATGCAGCCTCTGTGTGTATTCCAAGTATAGTCTTGAAGGGATGCTTTAAAGGAAGGGGGTGATTTTCTCTCATTGCCTTGATAACCGATGCATTCATGACAATAGCATCCCTTTCAGATGAGGCGAGTAAGACAGATGAACACAGAGATAGACAGACACAGACAAAGCCTGACACGGCGAAATCCAGGGAGAGATCGACAGGAGGAGAGGAAATAAAGAAGAGGCGGCAGTAAGAGGCGCGGAGTCGGAGTGTAATATCGTGGCAGATTCACGGCTGGTGTCACATGGGGGGGTGCGATGAATAAAACGTTGTGGCATGTTCGTCTCTCAGGGTTGGCTATGCTGTAAAAAGTGTGTCTGAGAGGGGAACAGCTGTCATTGGTTCCTCTCAACATACTGCCATCACCATTTCTGTTAAATATGAAATATATCAGTGCTTATATTCCCCCTTGGCTCTGCGAGAAAGCTTGCCCCAGAACTACATTAAGAAAAGCGCACGATTTGTGAATTTTAAATACTCGACTCTGCGCGGCAAATTTGACAAATTGAGGTCTCGTCTGCAGTTTTGTCTGACCTTAAGGGAAGTGTGCTCTTGAACGTAATCCTATGTGTGTGTGTTTATCTTCCCTACAGGCGTGTAACGAGTTCACCACCCATGTGATGAACCTGTTGAGAGAGCAGTCACGCACGCGACCCATTTCGCCCAAAGAGATCGAGCGCATGGTGAGCATCATCCACCGCAAGTTCAGCGCCATCCAGATGCAGCTCAAACAGAGCACCTGCGAGGCCGTGATGATCCTGCGCTCCCGCTTCCTCGATGCCAGGTGTGTGCCTTTGCATACAGGTTCAGGTCGTACACGGCACGCTCTGTGCTGCAAATTACAAAATCCTCTACGTGTGCTCTCCTTCTCGGCCTGATATCCATATGAATGGCTGATGTAGGAGGCCTATCATGCCATAAATGTGGTGTAACACATGCTGTTTACCACACATGCTGGACTGGTTTGCATGACTGGGTGCCATTTGGACTTGTATACCCAGCAACACTGGCCAATGAGAGCTTCGTGCATGATCCAAAACACTAACTGCTTCCTTTTTTTTAATGTAATCGCTTGTTCTCTTTGATGCGTGCTTTGGATTTGCATACATTTCTCTAAGGATAAATCTCACTCACTGTCTGAGTTGGAGGCATAACATTTAAATGAGGCATGCACTGCCTTACAAAGCTCCCTATCTATTCTCTTGCAAATGATTGTGGTGGTGCAGCAGCGAAGGGGAAGGGAGAGGAAGAGCTTTCGCTGGTTGAGAGGCACTGCCATGCTCAGCTCCACTGATTAATCTACTGGCTGCTAGAGCCCATGCTGTGCACATTTACATATTCTCATCCAGGCTTTCGAAGCGGGGGACAGAGATTTTAGCACAAATCTCCTCACCGGTGGATCCACGGAAAGAGATTTTCCAGGGTTCCCCTCCAGCTTATGTAAAGCCCTCTTTAGACGTGGCACACGCAGATATGACCTGATGAGTGCAAGAGATGGAGGGGTCGGTCAACTCATGAGCCACCAGCATGTGATATCTGTCTGCTTCAAGGTGTGGTGTTGGCAGGATATCGCTGGATTCATTTTCATATTCAAAGCATGACAGAATGCGTGTTAGCATTTCCTGCCTTCTCTGTGCTGTAATGCTTTGTTAGCATGGTGGGAAACTGATGCTGAGGTTTTACATGGGTGTAAACACACACACACACAAAACAGCAACATACAATAAAGTTGCAATAAAATTCAGTTAAAGCTGTTAAAAATACAGGTGAGCTTTAAAAAGCAATTTCAGTGAAGCTGCATCTCAACAACGTAACCACGCAAACCTTTCATGAGCGATCGAAAAAGCGATCAAAAGCTTATAAAGAGAGAGAACGCAGAGTTATGACTGATAAAGTCAGCAGTTTGAAAAAAATTTGTAACCCAAGTTTCACTGTTGACACCAGAGCACGTTTTTGACACATTATTTAAAACTGCTCTAAAATTGAAGCGTGGACCTCCGTTTTTTTAACTGTGAACAATGTCAAACGTGGCCATGGAGAGCATTACTACTGAACTGTACACTTCCTGTAAGCGTCTGGGAACATTGTAACATATTTCAGTTTGTAGTTTTAGTTTTGTCACCTGCAAATTCTTTATTTAGTTATTATTCTCACTAACTTTATAGCTGTTTTAAAAAACTATTCATCAACCCACTGTACATTACTATACTGCAGATATATCCTTTATCCTTGAAAACAGTGAAGTATTTAATAGTTAATTCCTCCTAGATAAGGTGTAATTAATAAAATAAATGCTAGAGCTGTTCCATATTTGCTGGTGTAATGCAGTCAGAATATCAGATTTTCACCACAATGAAATTTGAAATTATGTTATCAAACATAGAGATTACTCAAATTACTATTCAGCGTATTTTATCTCTTTTTTGTGAGTATGAATGCAAAAAAGACATGTGCAAATGCACAATTATTTATGATACGTTTAATTGACATCCCAGTGATAATTCTTGAGTTAAATGTTATGTTAATGAATGGGTTTAGGTTTAAACTGCACACTTTAAAACTGTAAAATAAGATTTCCATTGTTGTCCTTTAATTATACATATATATTTAAAAGGGAAAAAAAACACTTAAAAAATTCTGTCTAATCACAGAGCAAGTACACAAATCCAGAGCAGTCATAGTCAGTATATTCCCAAAACAGTGTTACGGTTTAAAGCGGAGCCCTACCCTGGCTGGTTTTAACTTCTGTATGTCTGAATATTCAAAAGGCAAACACTGCTATTAAACCTTTTAAAAAATGGAGACTGTGATTTCTTCTTTATCTCCCCACAATTAATAGTAGATATTGACTTAATTATTATGACCCAGTTATGTGCTTTTATTGCCAGCCCTAATGCTTTCTTCAGATGCTCATAAACAGAGCTGTAGTGCAGCAATTCTGGGCCTAATTGTTCTCTTGAGTCCTGACAAAGTGTCTCAGTGCAAAGCTGCAGCTAAATTGAAAGTTTCTGGTGCAGCAGAGGTTTTCACAAAGGGGGGTAATGTACATCCAAATCAAGGCCAGATAAACCCGCAGAGACCGTGCTGGTGTCAAGCCAACATCACGGATGCTCGGCTTATAACTGATGACTGGCTTGGGTTGGTATCGGCGTGCTGAAAACCACTTCCTCCATATTAAAGCAACCACAATATTTAATAGGGTGAACTTGCAGAAATGTCATGTTTAAAAGTGAATCCAAGATTTCGGATAAGGTTACATTTGTAGTTGTTGTGCAGTTTATTTTAGATTTTTCCTCAGTTTTGGAGATGGCCGCTGTAGAAATGACTGCCGTCTTATGAATACATTGGAACTAAATGACACTTGCATTGTGGTGCGTAAGTGCCAAGAATACATTTTAAAACTCAGCAGCGATGCATCTTTCCAAAGTCATGACCTGATTACAGTAAGAATGCACAAACTTTGTCATGAGCTATTTTATGGAGGAACAATTTTCTTTCTGTCAAACTACAGACAATGAGGGCGAGGCTGGCTAACTAAAGAAAAAAGACACGTCTATCCATCTTTTACAATTTCCCCGATTGTCTCGTCCCATTATATTTAAGAGAAAGCAAACATCTCTGCAGTGGAAAAGTCCCAAACTGTTACCTTGTGGATAAAGGCTGGAGGAGAAATAAGCAAATTTGATTTTGAGATCAGAGCGCTTATGACTTCTCTCTGTAATGATAGTTCCCCAGCGTTTCTTACCAGTTCCATGTTGTTATCGTTGCTCTAAACTTAATTTTATCCCCGTTTGAACCTTCACTGTTCTCTTTGCAGACGAAAAAGACGAAACTTCAACAAGCAGGCGACAGAGATCCTGAATGAATATTTCTACTCGCACCTCAGTAACCCCTACCCCAGCGAGGAGGCTAAAGAAGAGCTGGCAAAGAAGTGCGCCATCACAGTGGCCCAGGTACACCGCAGATCACCGCCACCTCACAGCACCTGTAGGAACACTGCCGTACACAGAGTAGCAGGACAAAGACGAGTTTTAATATGAAGCTGGCGCAGAGCGTCTTGGCAAGTAACCTAATAATATGTTTTGTGACTGTCATGAGTACAGACAGCGTCTCTAATCTTTTAGCAGTGCCTTTCATTGAGACAACAAAGGACTTAAAGTATAAATACGCCTTGTCATGAGTCTGTAATCTCGTAAATCAAACCAGACAAAAGCTATTTTTGACCAGTGACACAGTGTTCCTATTGAAGTAATGCAAGCTAAGCACAACTCAGCTGTCATAGTTCTTATTGATCTAATCTTATAGTGGATCACATGCACCACTTGCAACATAAATTCTAAATACAGTCCAAGTACTTTTACAAAGTGTGACACAAATGGTGAGAAATCCAGCATACTTTGTGCACGTATTTTTTGGGGGGTAAACGAAGTGAAAATAAAATAGACTGAAGTTTCTAATCGAACATCTTCGAGAAAGCAACTAATTGATTAATCAGCAGCTGCTTTCAGCTTGTGAAATTCAGCGCTGGGATCATTTGAGGCATTTGATGATTAAATCTAACGGTAACTTAACCAACATCTGTCTCATGGCGAGTGCGAAGACTAAAACATCTTTGCATTCCAGCACTCAGGTTGTTTCACTCCTGTGAGAGTTGATAATACGGAAAGCAATGACAACACCAAGGTAAACAGCAGTTTGTGTTTTGAATCCATCATTTGGGAATGGATTGTTTTCTCAATTGGTTTCATTAATTTCTAAGGAATGATTGGAGGGTGCAGCTGGGCCTGATTGTGGAAGCAGCTCGGTAGCCGAATGATTTGTAGAGTTTCCGTTTCTTGGCCATAATAAAGGAGAATGTTTACCTACTCTGTGCATTGGAAACTTTGCAGGATTGATTTGGTTTTCATTTTAATGTTGTTTATCATTAGCGCTGGGATTACCCCCCCGGCTTCATCTGGGAGTCCATTAGCCGTAATGGGTGTTAGCGGATGTTGACTGATTGGTGCTTGCGTGAGTTCTGATGATAGCTGCAGTCATGGTGACATAATGAGACTGTTATTGGCAATCATTCCATTCTGGCACTAATGCAGATTCACAGCACCAGTCTGTGAAGCCCATACCTCTGACAGAGGCTCTCTGCAGTGTTTTGCATGCCATTAAGGCCATGCAAGCTAAACACTGCCATGGTTTTTCTGAGAGCCTCTGTGTGGTAATATGTCGTGACAATTAAACTATATTCTTTTGTTTGTCTGCTCAGGTTTCCAACTGGTTCGGGAATAAAAGAATCAGATACAAGAAAAACATTGGTAAGTTCCAAGAAGAAGCCAACATGTACGCTGCGAGAACTGCCGTGAATGCGGCTAATGCATCCTCACATGGAAGCCAAGCAAATTCACCCTCAACTCCAAACTCTGCAGGTGAGACAGGAAGTCCCTGGCTCTGCTCAGCTATTAGATATGTGCCTCCTCTGTGTACTACAACTTAGTCAATTTTAGAGTTTTTTCATTGCTGATGCTGGTAATTTGTAAAGGAGCAAAAAGTAGATCTGTCAGGCAAACTCAGTTATACACAGAACATGCCTAAAACCTGACAAAGCACCATCGTTACTGCTGAACAAATTAAACATTTCCCCTTCACGACTCTAATTACCCCCCTAGTACAAAAATATGTCCGATTAGACGACCTGAACCCCGTGCCAAGTCTCCATAATCTCACTGTCCTCTTGTCTGGGTCTCAATTAATCCTGTTCTTCATGTATGCTTATTAAACTCTGTATTTATCACGGCCTCTGCTGACACTCTAAGGATAAGTCTGGTAGTATTCTACATTTTTCTTATTTTTGGTGAATAACAGTGGAAAAAAGACTAACAGTGAATTGACCCCACTTACTTTTCTTGTCGAGCCACATTAGTGTACAGAGATGATTAACTCTGACGTCTCATCACGATTACCTAATCCTAGGCAATCAAAAAATGTACTTCATATTTTTATACAACTGTTACCAAGTGCTGCCAATCAGAGGAAAAAAACTTATCATTCCAACCGAAATACATCAAAACTATTCAGGTTTTCCAGAAAAGTCCATTTCTGCCTTATCCAGTATATAGAATTAGGGTTAACGTTGCCTCTATCTATCAAACCATCACATCTACATTCCTTTTTTTACCTTTCATACACACATTGTAGTTTCTTTGGGTTTTTTTAATATACCACCTATACCATGTTCATATGAAAAATACCTGCAACATAAATTTCAATTCACACTTGCTTAAATTGCCTAAAATATATAGAAAAATGTTAAAGTTGCCTCTTTCATTAGTAGAATGAAGGATTCAAGTCTTACAGGACATTAATATTTAATCAATTTTTTTCTTTTTTTTTGCTAAATGTGTAAATAGCCACAGGTGAAATAAAGCTTTTAAAATTAAATACACTACGTGTTTTAATTAGTAGCCTTTATTAAAAACTGCAATGCCCTGCTGTTATGAGATATTACTTATTTTTAGTTAAGAATGAAAGTTAATTTATGTAATCAATTTTTATAGCAATTTTTGTAGTGGATATTAATTTGACCTAGGAACACTTAACAAAAACATTGTTTGGTTTTTACCAAATAACAACGTTAAGATTGAAAACAGAGCGTTAGTTTGCTTTAATGTCTAGCAGTCGTAATTCTGCATTTTAAGCCACAACATTAAAGCTCAGCTCGCATGTTTAGATAGATATATAGAGCTTTAGCCTGAATAGTGAAGATGATCTTCAGGCCAGGAGAAATATAATTTATATATTCATATTGCAGTGGTTTACACATGTGCCTGACATGTAAAAGATCCCATTCAAGACTGCGACAAGACAAATACTCAAAAGTTCTGTGTCAGGAAAGGCAGCTGATTTAAAAATCTTTGCCAAATCCCTCCTCAGCAGAAGTAGTTCTTAATTCAGGATTAACGTTGAACAGATAAATGACAAATGAAATAGAAATAAGAGAAGAAATATAAAAACCTGTTGACTGCTGTTCCCGGTAGTTTAACTACACTCCTGCATGTGGAGTCCAGGTAGCCCTAGGCCTCAAACTGACCGGCTTCAGAGTTGAGCAGTAATCCAGTAACATCAAAAGATGTGCAACCCCTAGGTCTGAGGGTGGATCGAAAGGACCCCCTGCTTGTGCCTAAATTACCTAAATATCACTCGCAGACTTGACACACATTTAATGGGACTGGCGTGGCAGCCATCTTGGAACCTTGAAATCTTATTAGCCTCTATTCCCCTTGTTATGGCTCCCTCTGGTGATGGATAATCCTCCTAGTACCACACTAAGACTCTGATATGTTGCCATGTTTACTTTGTGATGATTCCCAGGCTGTTTTCTGTCACCGTGACCCCCCCTAGCCACATGTTTATTGTAGTAACAGCTCCCCCTCATCTTAATCAGTCAAAATAAAAAACATCTCTCCCCATACTTTTTGCATAAGCGTTATATCATTCTTCTTCTGTGGTATTTTCTCCAGAGGCAGACAAACCCTCTGCCTCCTGTTGACACCAGCACATCCATGCTCACTGTACATGTGTGGTCATATATTAATGCTTTACAGGTGTGCTTATACACTTTATGTATTGCATAAAGTAGTAAAAATTTGAAAGAATGCCAGACTTATCTTTTTCTACAGTCCAGTGTTGTTGGGAAATGTTTATCATTTGCTGTCTTCCTTTGATGAAATATCAGACTTAAGAAGAAGAATGGCTTTTTCGGGCTTCTTAAAATGTCTTTTAAATGTTGTATTCTCCAAAAAAACACAACAACAAGTCACCATCACTAAAGATAGTTTTGTCTTTCAATGAAAGCAGTCCAGGCTACTTGGATGAGACAGCAATTGAGTGCATTTCTTATTAATCTGGGCTCCTTTCTTAATTCTTTTTTGCTAATATGTAAACAGATTACCTGGTAAAACATATACCTGATACACTACTTCTCTGTCCTCACTTCACCCCCCCTGGTCTAACAGCCTGCACGGCTGCTAGCTAACCCTCTGCATGCTGCTCCTCCAGGCTGCTTCCTGAACGGGCTGACTTGCTCCTCTTTGCTTGCTCTCTGTCTCTCTGTGATTCGACTGCTCCCTCTCTCCTTTCAGGTTCTGGTGGCTCTTTTAACATGTCAAACTCGGGGGACTTGTTCATGAGCGTGCAGTCTCTCAATGGGGACTCGTACCAGGGGGCTCAGGTGGGAGCCAACGTGCAGTCGCAGGTAGGGCCCCAAAGCAGAACAGAAGGTGATACAGGGGCGGATCGAGTACTGATCTTTGTAACGCCAGACTCGTCATGCACAGGTTTTAGATGAATTAACTAGTAACTAGGGTAATTTCACCCTCGTAGTATCAGGAAGTCGGTCATCTTATAATGCTTAAATTAATTTATATTAGCTTAAAAGAACTGCAGAAATATGACAGTGCATCTACAGCCAAACAGGCCAATTCCAAGGAAGATAGCAAGATGGACTGCATTGATTCAACCTCAAAAAGCCACGCCCACTGGAGGGGAAACGATTCAGTTGATGCTACACTTTTGTGTTTTAGCATTCAGTATTTAATTAGCAGTTACAAAGCTATGGTTAGATATCTTTTAGTCAACTAAGTTTATCACCAACTATGCTTTCTGAGTCATCTACATTCCACTGTAATGGAAGTTATGCAACTGTTATTCTCATTTCAAACTCCATTTTTTGTTATTCTTAGAATAGCTTTGCATGAACCACAACATCATCATCTGTATTTACCTTATGCTAGGAGTTGTGCAGCCTTTTAGTTTAAGCTTTGTCTGAAACAATTCAGTTTAGCTCCCTCCCTTGCAATTTCCTCCTGATTGGCCACTTTTATAAATAGGTCTGAACAGCAGTGGGTGGAGCCTCTGTGTTCACGTTATGATCATATTAAGAGTATCCCCTCTCAGTGAGAACATCCCGAGCCAAGACTAGAAAAGCATCTGAAATGTTTGCCATATTTAATACAAGCAGAAAGTAAGGAAATGCATAACAAGTAGCTTTTAACTTACAGAAATATAGGTGTAAAACTGACATTTTGATATTTGACTTATTAACAACAAATAATGACTCTCATTAATAATAATTAAGCACAGTCCTGCCTGAAATAGTCAAACTGATGTGGGTTATACCTGTTGGTACTGTTTTCCATCACCCTGGTGCTTTTGGGAATTTTTTTTATTTATTTTTTTCTTCTAACAGATGAAACTCACATGGAGGCTTCTAATAACTTGTTTCCCCCCTGATGTGGGCGGGACTTAATTGCCCTCTACCTCTGTGCACTTACTTGTACTCATACACTACTTGTTAACAAAATAAGATTCAGACCCTTTTTCTATAGTGGGACTTGGATAGCATTTGTGGGACTAATAGGGGACCTTTTATTTGTCATGTTTTAATGATTTCTGCTTTGACTGGCACATGCTGTTATTGACGAATCTTCTTAATCTAAATATTGTTAATCTTGCTGGCATAAGAGCATGTGTTCAACTTATTTTCTAATAAACTTCCTTTTTACCCTTGTCATGCACACCCCCTCCAAAAGAAAACACCCAGCTGCTTACTTTTACCTTGATGGAAAAGAGTCATTAATACCCCAGTCTCAAGGGCAGAAGATTTGTCATCCTGTATTCATCCTACAAACAGTTTGATTTCAGCTGGCAAAAACCAAACATCTCTTTATCCTGAATTCCCTTTTTGTTTTGGACTTTGTTGTCTCCAAGGACATACTTGCAGCAGTGTACTCTTGTTGTCTCTCTTGTTGTCTTGTCATCTCTCTCTTTTCTCTTGTGCTTCTCTTGTGTTGACTCTGACCTTGCTTTGTCTGCTCCTTCTGAATGTTTCAGGTGGATACCCTTCGCCATGTTATCAGTCAGACAGGCGGATACAGTGAAGGACTCACAGCCAACCAGATGTACAGTCCGCAGGGCATCAATGTAAGCTTTCCTTTTTTTCCCCTTTGTTTTTCCTTTCTCTCCCTACCAATTATTTCAAAGCCATAGGGCTCAGAATGCCACTTAGTAGGACTTGTCTCCACTCCATGGTCACCTAGTTGATTGCTTCTCTAGCACTCGTGCCACAGGCAGCACGGTAGCCACCGTACGCAGGCGTGGTGCTGGCCACACACATGCAGAGCCGCCTTCTGAGCCTGTCATGTTCAATCAGGCCTGGAGTAGCACCTGCAGCCACGTATGGTCAGCCGTGAGAGAGCCGCACAAACAGGTGACACCTCTTTGCTCTGGACTTCAGCTCCCTCTGACCACCTGACCCGTGATTAGCAGCCCCAAGGCCAGAAGCTCCCGTTAATGCCCCACAGGAGACATCAGCACCGTCCCGCTAAAAATAAAACCTCACGCTCCTGGAAATGACTCCTCATGTGCCATAGGGGTTTGTCCCCGACGTGTTTGTCTTATTTTTCTGCAGAGTTCGGGTTTAGATGTGGGGGTATGAGGGGTGGGGTGGGGGTTGCTAGCTGGCGGCGGCAAACAGTAGGGAAATTCACAGCGACAAGCCGTGTCGTAAAGGGGAAAATCGATAAGACAGACACAAGGAGAGCAGAGTGTGGACTTGGGACAGCAATCCAAGCGCATTGCTCAGATCATGTTCCTGCCACACTAATGGCCCTGACAGCGAGCCGCGCTGAGGACGAGGACGGTCACAGCCGCGGCTGGGTTCCTCTGCTGTCGTCGTCGTGCCTCACTGGCCATATGATAATCAGATGAAATGTCTCCTGTATAAAAACATGTATGTGTATTCAAATAGGCTTCCTGGCTGCTCCGAGCGCATCCCACAGCTAGCTGTGCTAACCCTGAGAGGACGCTAACGTATTCAGGCCCTGTTCTTTCTCAGTCCTTTGACCTCACAGATACGGTTCTCCTTGGACGCCTGCTTGCTCTACCACATCTTACACTGCCACAGTATGCTGTGTTATTCACTTTTATACCCTGTAAAGAAGCTCTGCAATGCATAATGTAGGAGCAGGATATCTGTCTGGCAGCCTGTTTGCCTGTGATTTATGTTGCTAAGGCTGGTAAATTAGGAATCTCTGCTCTTCACTTGCCTGTTTTTTCTCCAATCCATGCACGACAGTTTAGTTTGATATAATATTTTAGCAGATAATAGTAAGTTATGACAAAGCTGTCTTTTGTAGAAAACTAGATTTTTTCCACTGAGGTATCTCAACCTCTTTTGGCCTTTATTTTGCAGAATTCAGGGCATAGAAGCACTTTTGTTGTAATGTACAATTTACAAAATACATCATAAGTGGTTTTTGGTTTGTCTTTGCATAAAAGTTATATATATATATATATATATATATATATATATATATATATATATATATCGAAAATGGCAACGCTTTTATAACTTCATTGTTAATTAAACATATATATATAGTATATATATATATTATATTATAATATAAATATATAATATTATTATATTATATTATATATATATATATATATATATATCGAATGGCAACGCTTTTGATTAACTTCATTGTTAATTAAATGCAGGAACAACCTGTATCCCGAAAAAAAAAAAAAACAGTTTTAGAGACATGTCAAGACAGACTTTAGTGAATCTTGTGTCTAATACAAAAAAGCCTGCTGGATAATGACTGCTGCGGGTGATTACATTATACAATCTGACCCCTCCACTTTTGATTACACATTACAAGCTGTGAAATGAAAGGCTGTCGAGGACCATTTCCAATTTTTCTGATGGTTTTAAATTCGCTATTAACACCCTAAATGCTCTTTAACAGGCCTGTCTGTGGCGGTGAAAAGGACCTCCAGAGTTCTTATTGTATGTTAATTCCTACTGTCAGCATCGTAATTAGTGCGTGTTTTGTTTCAGACGCCCTTCCATACAATTTACATATATTCATATTGTTTAAAATGACAGCAGCAGGAATTTATTTCAAGACGAAATCTTGCACAAGTTGACTTTTCCTCTCTTTATTGTTGTCATTGCTTAAATGAGTGAGTGTGCAGTGTATGATGGGGTAATTCTGTTTCTGCTCAGCTGGAAATGGCAGTATTTTTTTTTATGTCAGTCTTATTCTGAATTATTAGCTGTAATGTGAGCTGTGTTAGCTTTTCCTCCAATCCAGGAGGCAGTTTGACTTAAGGCTGTGTTTGACTGCGTAGTTCAAAGTATCCCAGCGTTGGTGCACTATCTTGCCCTCAGGACTTCTATTCGTTTTTTTATCTCAGTGTGTTTGAGCTGCATCGAGTAATGAACAGAAGAGCAACACACTCACGCCCCACTTCTGGTTCTCTCTGATTCTTTTCCACTCCCAGGCAAACGGCGGCTGGCAGGATGCTCCAACCCCCTCATCAGTGACATCACCTACAGAAGGACCTGGAAGCGTTCACTCCGATACCTCCAACTGATCCTCCACCCACCTGCTTCCTCTTGATTCCCACTTTCCTCGATCCACCACAACTCTCCCTTCCAAAACTTATACCCTGACCCCCTTTTTTTGGGACTGGATGGGAAACGGCGCGGCACAGTCGGGGTCTGGAGATGACGTTTTCACCATTACGGATAAAACTGTTCACTTTTCCTATCTGGACCACCGCGGCACCATTAGCAGCCTGCGTAGGGGACTCATATTCACACCACACAGTTTGTACAGTTTCCACTTGATGTCCATGTTGCCTCTTTGTATTTCTCTTTACAGTATATATTCACACAGTAGGCTCACAGCAGCGTATTGGCCCACATCTTGTAAATTGAGATGCTTTCACACTACCTCTATTCGAAATAATAACATAGCAAACAAAATTTAAACGGCTTCGGTTTTACAAAGTTTCGTATTTTTACAAATTTATCACACACCACATCGAGCCCTATCGTTACACGTCTGTTTTCAATACCAGATTACTTTTCTTTTTTTTACCTATGGTGCCAAAGTTCAGCTCTGGAGGTGAATTTTGAAAACATTGTTGTCTCATGTCCTTAAATTTCTCATGCCATACATTGTGACATATTATTATTATTATTATTATGTTAGTCCATTTATATTAGTAAGCTGATATCCAAGTATTCAGCCTCGGTTTGTATTGTTTGTATTCAGAACTTCTACAGCAGACACTGACATTTAAGACCTTTTATTGCTTTGTGCCATAGTAGCTACGTTTCAGCTAACACGCGGTACAACAGTGCAGAGACTTTACAATCTTAAAGCGAGAAATTAAGGAATTGAGCTCAAAGACGTATATATTAAAGCACAATAACATCTACTGATTAAAGTCAAAGGGGAGCATTTGTAAATGTGAAAAAAAAGAAAAACTGTTTAAATCTAACAGTGAGACAAACGGATCCAAATACTGCTGGTAACCAAACAGTAATTCAGTTTTTAAGGTATCAGGTCATCAGGATTGAACACATCGCATGTCCTTTCTCATTCATGTATGGAGTCACATTTGTGCCAAAAGTCTGAGCACGAGATGAATCATTTTGAGAACAGAAGAATTTTGGTTTTGCTCAACTTATTCTTTTCCAATAAATAAATTGGAAAAGTCAATAAAAATGTGCAAAATTTGATAAAAATAAATAATCGTTTCCTATTAAAGTTTGTAAAACTGGAACATGCTAAAAAATGTAATAGATATGTCTCTGCAATATTCTTTTTTTTTTTTCTGTTCAAAATGTCTCACTGAATCCTCAGGATTTAGTCACAAATCTAATCGGCGTGTGTTCATCTTGATCTGCCTGACCTGTTTTGTAACCTCTGATAACATCAGAGAGAACGTCTGACGTTAGTAATTATTACGAAAGTAATTATATTCTCACTTATTCACTTTTTTCTTTGTTTAAAATGACACTACACTCATGAACATGATGCCAATCTGAAATGTGAAATTAAATTTGTGACCTTTGTCGTATGTACAGTACAATGTATACATGATTACAATAGTCCTCATGAGCATTTACATACTTTGATACCAAAAAAAGGCAGAATTTTATCCCCCTCATTGGGATCAGCTTTATCGAGGGTTTTCTTTTTCCTGTTTTTGAATGGTTTTAGTATCTGCAGTGCTAGTGAGCATCTCATTATGCTCCAGTACTCTGTATCCAAAGCCAAAAAAATGCACTTGGAATACAGTAGTGTTTATATAAATTCAAATGAAAACAAATACCCTGATGGCACACAAATCCAGAAGATGTTTGGATATATTTTTATGTGTCTCCATTTTGCAAATAAGTCATCTTTTTTGTTTCACTTGATATTCTTTTGACTGTTTTTCTTTTTATGCTACCATTATGTGTGAATTGCCCAAGAATGCTCTATATACAGTATGTAGATATGCGCCTTTACTCTTTTTTTGCATCTTTGAATTTGGACAGTAGCTATTTTAACGCAGCCTCTTTGAGTTCCTGTTGGATTTACGGTGAAATCCTTCTTATTCTTTTGTACTCATGTCACATGTTACAACCCTGCGTCCAAAATGGCTACTGTCCCATTAAAGGTGACGTGAAAAGTTAGCGTTAACATTGCCCTCTCTTTGGCTTTTATTTTAGCTGAACTGAACCCTGAGAGAAAATTCAGTCCCGAGATCCCAAACAGCCTGAAAACCACAGGTATTTTTTTAACAGTATTTATTACACACGTATGAAATCATGGATGTCTCAGAGCTTGGGCGTTGAGATCTACGACGGCGTGATGGCAACAGACAAACTCATTTGAATGACTCAGAGCGGCTCCCCTCTCGACTCACCTGCTCAGTATTACAGCCGAGGGGGCGAGCACCATTGAAATGATGCACAGAACCTGCCTCAGTCGTGTCTTTGGAAGTCATTGGAGTGAACTGACAGCGGCGGCCATGCAAGGCAAACACGAGGATTGTTTTTGCACCCCTCAAAAAAAGGCTTAACTCTACTTTTCACATTGCCTGTCAAATATTATCGAAGCTTCATGTAATGATGCTTTTTAGTTTTTGAATATAAAAGGAAAAGAGACATGAAAAGAAAGATGACCAATTTGTAAAACATGAAATGTTTTATTTGTTGCATGTCTTTTTGTTCTTCAATAAAATAACGTACTGCAGTGTTTTGAATGTTAACTTCTTTTTTATAAGGATTTCAGAGTGAAATCGTGGAGCCTTTTTCTTGACAGGTTTTAACTTTTAAGATCTCTGCGTATGTAAAAAGGTATCAAATGGAAAACTATTGTCTTTTTAATTCCGATTCAAAACTTGTTTTCTGTGGAGAAAAATAGCTGAAAGGTGTAGGTTTTATGGTCTCTTAATTTGTACTGGCAATGCGTATCCCAAATAAATAGTTTCTTTTGTTGCATAAACGGAGGTTTTGTCATTTTTCTGGTGAAGTTTTGTTTGCTCTTTGTGCTTTTCTCCACCACAAACTTGAGCGTGGTGTTTCCAGCAGACTTTTGTAACAGGGTCAGGGTCAGAAGTCACTGTAGGATACAAGTTAACACATTGTAGACTTGTCAGTCCAACACCTCTGGATAGCATTGCACGTCTCACTTCCAACTAGGCTGTGGCATGGAGGCATTTTATCACCACTAACATAGCACCGGAGCTTGGCCTGAGCTGCCGAGGGTGTGAAGGGGACATTTTCACAGTTTTCACAGTGAGTGAAAGCTGTGTGCTCCCGGCAGACAGACACCTCCTCTATCCCCCGCCACCCTTCCCCACACCCAGCGCTCCCTCTGAGGCATGGTTAATGTGCGTTCCCTGAAAGAGGCGGAATCCACACTTATCTCTCTCTTCCAGATAAACCAGACAGGATGTCTGATTCTGCTTCTTCAATTCATCCCTCCTCTGGAAAAAAAAATAAAAAGAAGGAAGGGGCTGAAACATGAACTTGTGGATTAGGAAGAGGTTCCCAGGAGCATCCAAAATCAGGGAGCGTGACAGAGACTGTGGGAGTGACATATGCAAACATGATCAAGTGTAATTACATGGAGAGGCCTCCTTATTTCTATCAAAGGGTTTCTTTTAGCCAGTGTTTCAGGAATGAAAGGCAAAAAGTGCTGGACGTGTAGCTTTAATTTATTCATGTTCTCCTGCAAACCAAAAAAGGCATTGTGAGACTGATTCAGTCATTACATGGTGAAAAGGTGTAAATCCCATTCTGAGTAAAATCGCTGTGCATTCTTTTGAATGTCTGAGTCCTTTAACAAAAAAAAGGCTGTAAAACATGCTGTACCGTGACAAATGCACTGCAGGTTTTTATGAAGACTACACTGATCATTGTTCATTTTACATCATGAAAGTATAAATCCAATCAGCAACAGAATCTGGACCACCTTAACTCTTTTAACCTTACCTTGGGAAGGGATTTAGATTAAGAGCAATTAAAGAACATTACCCCCTTTCTTTCTTAAAAACTTAAATTGAACTGGTTTAAATCCTTTTCAAAACTAATAAGAATCCATTGGCAGGTATTATTATTAGGTTAATAAGGGCATACCATTCACAGTAAGTATTTAGTTGGTGATTCGCAAGTTAAAATCTTTGCTGTCCTGGTTAAAACTCATTAATAAGCAACGGTTTTTAATGTATATGATACCTATTATATATTAAGTTTGTGAGGAAACATTTTCCTACCTTTTCTCATTTCACCAACATAAAAACAAAAGGCACAGAGAAAGAAAATCAAAGTTCCCGTTTCATTTTGCTGCTCCTGGTATTGTACCTGCTAGTTCATGTGCTGTCAGTTTTGTTTAATGACAATGCACAACAGAGCCACTGGCAACATATCTACACTGCCCCCTGGTGGCTAGGTGCTGTAGAGATCATAAACCCCGCGCCGCCTGTAAAATAAGTAGTTGTTAACGTGTCTGTTGAGCTATGTTCAGGAATTATACTCAAACATGACGAAGGGCTGTTCCTTACTTAACTGTACAATTTATCCTTAATTAACTGTACCAAAAACGGTGTCGTTCTACAGTAATAGGTTTGTGCTGATAAATAGTAAGTCATGTCGTTACTACTATGTTAAGAGCACAGATAGCAAATTGGTAGTTGATGCACATGTGGCTAGCTAGTTTGTAAATTATAAATATAGACTGAGCATTCATGATGGCTCAAGGCAAATCAAGCGATTTAAGATGGCATATAGCTGGCATATCACCTGGGCTGAGGTGGAACCTCAACATCTCATCTCCACCAATGACCGTTTAAAAAGACGGGTGTAGTTTCCGAGTGTGAAAGATGAAGCCAGCAAGCAGGTATGAGAGGAGCTGTGGGTCAGCAGCAGTAGTGACGGGCAAATTCGATTCATTTTACTGAATCGAGCTTTAATAGGTCACTCACCAAAGTGAATTGGATTTCCTGAGTCATTTGAGTCACTGAGTCAGTTGATCAGAGAGTGCAAAAATTTATATTTTCACTCAAACTTAATTTGTTTCTCTTTTAATGTAAATCCTACTGCTAAGATGAATGATTGTAAAAGAAAACAACTATTTTATAGAGCAAATAAAAAATTCGAAAGGGAACATTTATTTATTTTTATTTTATTTTATTAGTATTTTCCGTAAATGTGTCAAATATATTTTCTCATCTAAATGACCACTGAGCTGTGAGCCAGGGGGCGGTAATGCGTCTTAACATTGGTTGCCAACCAAGAAGAAGAAGAAGACGTGAGCCAGGAGGGAGGGGGTGAGTGAGTGAGTGATTCGCTTACGCTAAGATTCAGCATAGCAAGGGAGGGGGTGAGTAACTCAAATGTGCTGTTAGGATATTAGCTGAGCGATGCTACTGTGAACCGAGGAGCTGTTGTCTTGATGTGAGCTTCTACTCAGGGTTTTTTCTTCCAGTTCAGAGCAGAAATGTTTTTGTTGTTGTTTTTGTTTGTTTGTTTTTGTTAAGAAACTGGCTGTTAAGAAGCTGGCAATTTTAATTATAAGTTAGATATATTTATACTAAAGTGAAAGTGATTCTTGAGTATTGAACAATTCGTTCACGAATCGAACATGACTAAGCAGCAGCGAGGACAGCCAGGTAAAAAACATGCAGAGATGGGTTAGTGTTTCACCTGAAGCAAAGTTCACACTGTAACAGCCAATCATTGAGAATATAAATTACAGTAGTCCCTCGTTGTTTAAACTCTCTTGAAGTTCAAACCTTCGTAGAAAAATAAGTCCAGTATTATAGAATGAAACTAAAGGCACCTGCAGGTGACGACGTTTCGTTGACATTGTTTTGTTTGTTGGGGGGTAAACTTACAAACATACAGTACAGCACTTCAGAGCCGCACTGCTAGCGATCGAAGATTTGCGTAAATTTGACAAGCTGAACACATTCTGTACTGTACAGGAGACAAGGCACGAGATTGATTGACAATGGTCAACAGCCAATCAGGAGGCGGAACACAATGCGCTGTGTTCTGGTGGGGGGGGGGGCACCAGGGGGTAACTCCTGTGGCTGCAAAAAGAAGTCCAATAGTATAAACGTCTGTTAGAAAATACGTTGAGCTCCCTTTACCCCCTGGCCTCAGTAAACATTTTCCAGATGACTTTAGGGTCTCAGTCACTAGATTTGAGTCTCAATTAATACATGACGTTTCTAAATAAAAAATATGTTTTTATTTGTTTTGGTTTTTTTATTGGCTGTTATGGCACTAAAGTTCTTATTTAGTTTACTCTTTCTGTGTACAGCACTTTGTGACTGTTTGTCTGTGAAGCCCTTCATAAATAAACTTTACTTACTAGAGTCAAATCAGAGATAAAGCAGTGTTAGCGCTACCTTGTCTGCTGCCGTATGAGTGTGTAGCATTGCCATCAGATCTGTCACTTGTGATCTCTGGTAACTGTCAAATCACTCAGCTTGAGGATTCATAGCAGGACTCTGTAACCAATGGGTGATGTCACAGTCTGGATGGACTGTACATGTTGATCACTACTGTACAGACTCTGATGATATATGATGCAAATGGTGTAAAATGTCTGTATCCGTTTCCCAAAATTCCTGCTGTATTTTTGTGCACTGAGAGGAAGTAATGATTGATTGTCTGAATAATGATTAATTAATTAAAAGGCATTTTCGGCTGCTTATCCGGTCGTTAAGTCTGACGTCACTAGCCGTGTCTGGGCCTAAACTCCGCTGCAGGTCCATATATCAAACATCACTATGGCATTACTGAGAGTTGAAAAACTGTCTAAAGTCTTTCATCTTTAATAAAATGATCAGCGTTCTGCTCTACCAGGTGTAACAATTGAGTTTACCATCCAGGCATCCATGAAAACGAAATTTATGACATTTAACGGAGTTAGAAGTTAGCTCGCTAGCTTCTATCTAAATACAATATAGCATGTCTTGACTGCGGGGTTTTGGAAACAAATTAAAACGTACAGCTCTGCTATCACTTCCAGCATAAATGAAGACAGAAAACTAAACAGCAGTGACGTTTGTAGGGTTACTGAAGTTGGGCTAGCTGGTATATAATGATGTGCTACGTGACCGCTAGCGACACAGCTATGTTAGCATAATATAAACAAGCTAACTTTTTTTCCACTCGATAAAAGTTACCGTGAGTGTTCTCGGTGGTCAGGAACAAATGTAATCACATGGCAGGATGCTGTAAAAGGACCAAACTTCAGCCAGGAGAACAACTGAGATAATCCATCCACAATACGAGGTTAGTCATTCATATACTGCTGCATGGGCTGGGCTGTAGTTACATCCTAAGGTTTTAAAAACTGAGCTTAAATAAATGATTAGCGGTAATAAAAGCCGAGGGAGGTCAACAGTGATCACTGACTGTTTTAGGAGCTTTTTGAGATTAAATAGAAGAAAATACAAAACATTAAACATGTTAACAACACAAAAGCCATATTAAACGCAGACTACTTTAGGCCCGGAAGTAGGAGTCGTCACGTCATCACTTAACGACCGGATAGGCAGCTTGGTCACAGTGGCAGCAGGGTAAAATTTTAAATAGCCAGCACCTATATAGTCCTTTTAAACTTTGCAGTGTTATAAAGTATTTGAAGTGTGTTTCTCATCCACACACACACACATAACCACGCAAGGTGTTTTGATGCCCTGCAGGGTAATTTGGGGTTTGGTGGCCTGAGACTCTCAGCAAGTGGAGAGACTGGGGATCAAACCAGCTCTACCAGCTGAGCCAAGGATGTATCCCATGGTCCCTTTCCAGTTTGACCACAAACTATGCAGTTTCATTTTCATTCATCTCTGAACAGTAATAAGATGCAATACAATAAAATGGTGTATAGGATTAATGTGCAACTACAGCTTTCCATGTTGTTTAATCATAACTAGGGAGACTTCTCATTTATGCTGTTTCTTAAAAATAGAAAATAACAGAAATTTAAGATCTCAAGGAAGAAATTTAAATGTAAAAATACATTTTTGATTGAAAGAAAAAATTAATGAATTAATTAAAGCACCTTGGTGTCTATTAGATTAAGAGTCTAATCCAGCTCTCTGCTCTATACACTCGCACAGGGAACAAGCACAGGATTGTGTCTCTCTATAGGCTAAGACAAACATTCATTATAATCACATCTGCCTTCTTTGACCTCATCTTAGTACATCTAAGCCTTCTCAACAATGGAATTTCATATCAATCTTCTTCAACCACAATGACCACAATGCATGTGGCACATGCAGGAGGGCTCAGGGCTCACATTATATC